TGTTCAGCTTGATGAGATTCAACCTGAGCAACAAACCCTACAGCATGAGGACATAGAAGATGTCACAGAGGAACTTGATTTTGGAGGCGTACCTTCTCAAAGGGAAACCACCCATATTCAAGATGCAATTCCTCAGGTAGATGAAGCACCCGAGGTCCCACATACTGATGTGGTCAATCCTCCTGCTAAAGTCTCTCCAGCTGTTGGACCACTTTGGAGATCAAACAGGCCAAGGCGGCAACCTAGACGATATGAGGATTTCGTCTTGAATGCTAGCATTGACGTTCTACTTTTAGAGAATGATGAGCCTGCTACCTATAAACAAGCAATGGCGAACCCCGACTCCGAAAAATGGCTTGAAGCCATGAAATCCGAAATGGACTCCATGTCTGAGAATCAAGTATGGGACTTGATAGATTTGCCTGATGGGGTAAAACCCATTGGATGCAAATGGGTCTTCAAGATCAAGACAGACAAGGATGGAAATGTTTCTGTCTACAAGGCAAGATTAGTTGCCAAAGGATTTAGACAAGTTCATGGTATTGACTATGATGAAACGTTCTCACCGGTTGTTATGATCAGGTCCATTAGGATAATCCTAGCAATTGCCGCTTATTATGATTATGAGATATGGCAAATGGATGTCAAGACCGCTTTTCTAAATGGATATTTAGAAGAAAATGTATACATGATGCAACCAGAAGGTTTTGAGGATCCAGAGAATCCTAGGAAAGTATGCAAGCTTAAGAAGTCTATCTATGGACTTAAGCAAGCATCCAGGAGTTGGAATCTTCGTTTTGATGAAGTGGTCAAAAAGTTTGATTTCATCAGATGCGAAGAAGAGCCATGTGTTTACAAGAAGTTTAGTGGGAGCAAAGTGGCCTTCCTGGTTCTATATGTGGATGACATATTACTCATTGGAAATGATATTCCTATGCTGGAGACAGTCAAGGAATGGCTTAAGAAGTATTTCTCAATGAAGGATCTAGGAGAGGCAGAGTACATATTAGGCATTAAGATCTATAGAGATAGGTCTAAGAGGCTTATTGGTCTAAGTCAAGGAACTTATATAGATAAGGTCCTTGCTAGATTTAATATGGTGAATTCTAAGAAAGGATTCCTTCCTATGCAACATGGCTTACGTCTCAGTAAAAGCCAGTGTCCTAAAACACCTGGTGAAACTGAGAAAATGAGTAGGATTCCCTATGCCTCAGCCATAGGATCCATCATGTATGCTATGACTTGTACTCGCCCAGATGTTGCGCACGCTTTGAGTGTGTGCAGCAGATACCAATCAAACCCTGGAGAGGCACATTGGTGTGCATCCAAGAACATTCTAAAGTACTTGAGAAGAACTAAGGATGATGCCTTGGTGTATGGAGGTGATGATGAGCTGATCGTCAAGGGCTACACTGATGCGAGTTTCCAGACAGATAAAGATGATTTTGAATCTCAGTTTGGATATGTCTTCATTCTGAATGGAGGAGCCGTCAGTTGGAAGAGCTCAAAGCAAGGGACAATAGCAGATTCTACAACGGAAGCAGAGTACATTGCTGCTAGTGAAGCAGCTAAGGAGGCGGTCTGGATTAGACAGTTCATAGCTGAGCTCGGTGTTGTTCCTAGCACTTCTAAAGCAATTGACGTCTATTGTGACAACAATGGCGCCATTGCTCAAGCCAAGAAACCTAGCTCTAGCTCCAGATCCAGACACGTCCAACGGAAGTACCACTTGATCAGACACTATGTTGATAGAGGAGACGTGAGGATGTGCAAAGTACACACCGACGACAACATTGCAGATACTTTGACCAAGCCCGTGCCTAGGCCCAAGCATGATAGTCACACTCGGGCCAAAGGGCTCAGACACATTGGAGAATTATTTTGAAATATTTTCGTTTTATGATAAAACTTGTTTATTGTTATTACAGACATTTATGCTTGATTTATATATATGAGTATCATATTATTATTTAATCACTGCTTGGGATTAGATAAAGTATCCGAATAATTTAATAATTATCAAATGGGCTCATCAAAACTGTTTTGGTAAATGAAACCCCATTAAGTGAACTGATATTATAAAATTATTAGTTGTTCATGGTCTGAGTCATTAACTAGGATACAAATGACTTAATTCAAGACCATATTGTGAGATTGATTGATAACACTGGGTTTCATGTGTTATAGGGACATGGAGATGTCTAATCGATTACATAGGTATGTATGGTGATACATATCGGACAGACCTATCATAGAACTCTTCGGGTTCTTTCTGTAGAGTTCTAGGATTATTCATGATTAGTGAGTTCCTCAGACATGAGTATGATGTAGTCATCATTTGACTGCTGGTATGTCTTTGACACTGCCAAACGCTGAACGTAATAGGTAGTTATAAAAGTAGTGATTGGGATTGCCAAAAGTTGAGTGGGAGATATAGTCTTACAAGATTGAATATGTCCTCCTATTCCATGTATACCATGATACATTTGGAAAGGAACGGTGTCTCGGCCACTTGAAGAGTGAGAACTGTGAAAAACGCATGGCCATGCTCAGATGGATTATTAGTAATCATTTGTACTGACAGTTCGATCTCAAGAGTTCAAGAAACATATTTGGCGATAAAGATGAGTTTCATCATATAGTCAAATAAGACATTAAGTGACAAAGGAATTTTAACATTGCACACTTGTTTCAAGGACAAGTGGGAGATTAAAGGAATTGTGTCCTTTAATTGAACGTGTAATTACTAATTATAAAATGAGACATTTAATGGAGATTTACAATCCGATTATTTTAGGTAATCATAGTGCTTTGCTAGAAGCCAACTATGATTTATGGACTTTATGTTATAAAGTTCATTGCTATTATAATTGGGTCCTACGAGGTCGCACCCTAAGAGTTTATGGACTGGATATATTGGGAGAATTATAATATAAAGTTATATAAGATATAGCTTCGAAATAGAGTTTATTAATAATAAGGAGTTATTGTTAAATAAAGGATAAATTTATTTGTAAATTTTATAAAAGATAATATTTAATTATAGAATTAAATATAACTTTAATTAGTGGATTATAAATAGGAGTGGTTTTTCTATTAGAAACTCTAATCCTATTCCACTTTCTCTATATATACGTGAAAGTGTTACTACTTTCTCTCCCATCATCTTCAACCTAGCAGTTGATTTCTAAGGATCCAGATCTTTGCTCGGGTGGATCAACTAGAGGAGTTTTCAAGAGAGACTCTCAATCTCTCCATTAGAGAAGGCTTTGAACACGCATCAAGAGGTAATTGTTTTTCTTAATTCTTAATCCAATTGATTTATGCAATAGATCCTTCGTTTAGATGTTAAGAAAACGTTTTCTGCATTCCGCTTAGAGCATCTAAAATCCTATATTGCTTTCATACAACCCAAATGTCGAGATCTTCATTTTCGTTTGTATTTATGGTTCATATAGAAAAGAGTTGTTTGCACTTTGTTACCCTAAAGTTACCCCTTTTTAACATTGATACCCAATGTTTTTATTTAACACTTTGATACGCCCAAAGTTTACAACTTTTTTGATTTTGATACCCCGTAGCTTTAATTCCAATGCTATGATACCTCAAAGTTTACACATTTTTTAACTTTGATACCCGATACCAAAGTGTCAAAAACAAACCCTTAAGGTACCAAAGTCAAAAAGGTATAAACCTTGAAGTATCAAAGTGTAAGGCATAAACTTTTTGTTGTTAAACTGAAAAAGTTGTAAACTTTGGAGGTATCAAAGTTCAAAATGGTATAAGCTTTACGGTACTAGAGTGCAAAAAACCCAAAAGAAAATAATTAAATACTCATAAGCATGGTAAGCTCAAGTCAAGTTTGAGGTTAGAATAGCAATCTTTGAAAATTGCAAATTGCACAAAGAACCTGAAAATTTCTAATTTGTGTAAAACACCCTAAAAGTTTTAAAAATTACAAAAAACCATAAATTCAAAAATTTTCATCCTCTGAGGGTTTTTTTACAAAATTTGAAACTTTCATTTCAGGTGCTGTGTATGTAATTTATAAATTTTTAAAATGCTTGTCAGTTTTGACATATTAAGGGTGTTTATTAATTTTTTTGAATTTAAGGTTTTTATTGCAATTTTCAAACTGTTTAGGGTGTTTTCTGCAAAATTCAAAACTTTTAGGTGCTCCGTGTGACTATAGATTTCTTTTAACGGTTTATAAGTATTGATACTTTAAGGGTGGTCATTGAAAATTTTGAAATTAAGTGTTTCGTTGCAGTTTCAAAACTTATAGGGTGATTTCTACAGAAAATGCTCTTAAAATCGAAAATTTTCAAGAACCACCCATAAAGTATCAAAACTTACAAATAGTAAAATATCTGTGATCAATACACAACACCTGAAAATGTAAAAAATTATAAAAATGTATCTTGGAATTTTCAAAAATTAGAGTAAACACCCTAAAAATACAAATTTCTCACAGAACACTTACAGGAAAAAAAAAATCAAACCTTACAAAAAACAGTGCAGAATACGTATATTAGACAGCATCCTAAAAATTTGCTAACAGCCCCTAAAGGTTTGCTATAAGACCAAAACTTTGTAAAACGCACCCCAAAAGTTTGCAAAAAGCGCCCCAAAAGTTCACAAACCCCCCCAAAAATTTGCAAAGAGCCCTCCAAAATTTTGCAAACAACACCTAAAATTTACAAAAACCCCCAAAAGTCCGCAAAAAGCTCCCCAAAAGTTTACAAAGAGCTCTTAAAAGTTTGCAAAAAGACCCCTAAAAGTTTACAAAAAGACCATTTAAAGTTTATATATACAACACTACTATAGTTAAATGGATAAACGGGCAGTCCGCTTATTAAATGGCCGATCAAAAACCCATCCACGTAGCAATTGCTATAAGGACAATAAATGGGCAAAATCTACCCGCCCATTTAACATCAATGAAGCATGTTCCAAATAAACTAAGACCAAATTCGTGAACGAAACACAAAAAAACCCGATACAGGAAATAATAGATCAATTTATACCGCAACATCAGAATATACATACACACGCATTGAGAAGTACAATCAACTAGTCAAGCCTATTGTTGAATCTGCTTAAGCATGCTTACATTTAATACTGCTATATATCTATACCTATAATAATAATAATAATAAGTTACTATAATTGAAATTGAAACCTAAAGGAAAGCCATACATATCTCAAGTTTCAAACAAGGTCACTGTACATATGTACATAAATGAATCAATATCACTAGATCTCAGATGAACCTTGAGAACCTGGAATTTCTTCTTGTTGAACATTTAATGACTGAAGACCCCCTTGCTTAAGAAATGATTCTTTCATCTGCTTGTAATTTTTCAGCTCTTTTAATGCATCAGCAGCAGTCATTGACCTTAAAAGACCAGAAGCAGTAACCGGACCTGAAGCAATGTTTAGTTTCTCTGCTCCAACATCCTTGTCTCCTTCCTTCAGAGTTTGGGAAGATGTTAACGGATTTGGGAGATCTGGTCTCAGAGGCGCAGCAGACTTGAGCATTCTAACAAGAGCACCGATCACTGCATCTGAGGACCTCACCGGGACAAGTTGTCCAGATGCCAAATTCTCATCAGCATCGGCAGGTCCAGCCCTACAGTAAAGAAATAAACTTCATATGTGCATTGGAATGTAGCCTGTAAAAAATGTAATTTGATTTAAAGTCACTTCTATTACACCGAGAATTTGGAGCTGTGGTAAAGGATTGATGATTATAATTTTATATACCAATGTTTCTGCAGGTTGAGTCATTTTTTGTATCGAAAGCGGTACTTATGCAGTCACATCTTTCTAATTCCTTTTCACGTACCGCCAATGAGATTTGAACATGTATTGCTCTAATATCATATTAACTCCATTCAATTACACCAAAACTTTAGAGTTGTGGTGTGAGTTGAGGGTTATAATTTTTATATTCTAACAACACTTGAAAAGGATCAAAATTGAACATGCATTACAATAATCTTCTAACTCATTTCTTCATATTCTCTAGCAACCTTTTCATACTATTAGCAACAACAGACTCACGCAGTCATATCTTTTTCTAATACGTTTATAAATGCTGGTGGTGAGATTTAAACCTGGGTTGCTCTAATACCATACTAAAATCCCTGCCATTAAATCAAAACTTAGGAGTTGTGGTGAGGGTGGGGGATAATTATATACTAACATTGGAAAAGAATCACTGAACATGCACAACGATAATCATCTAATTCATTTCTTGATATTATTAGCAATCTTTTCATATATTATTAACAACAAAATACTCACCGTTACCCTAGGAGATATGAACTGGCTCTGATACATGAACAAAGAAACAAGATAGTACCAAAAGAACACTAGGAGCTTGTATATGTAAATGTGTGTTTGCATTTGTTTGTGTATGTTATCTTCAGTGTTAAATTTAACATTAGATCAAACTCTTCAAGCTAATTTAGGTAGTTGAGAACAAATATAAAACTTAAAAAAGTAGAGTTTTGAAGTATCAATCCGAGACATATTGCAGTTCTACTGGATTTTAAGCATGCCAATTGGATCCATTCAAATTGACTGATACAGTCAATATTAGCTAATAAATGACTAATGCATACAGATGTTAGGAAAAAAAATTAGTGCAAGAGGTGCTTTGAGGTACCAGACAATTCATTTGATTTTATCACATTAGAAGACAAATAAAGGAAAAACCAACGAATGGAAATCTTGTAAGAAAACTCCAAGTTATCCCATGTACTACTAATTGTGACTGAAACTATCAAAATCATTCAAACCCCCAACATCAGTACCGACAAAGAAAAACCAACACCAAAACCAATATTTTATATATAAATGCTCCTTTACGTACCCATATCAGCGGAAAGTATTGTAGAAATAGATAAAACCCTAATCAATCTTTATTGAGATCATAAGAGAGATATATATAGCCATACAATTCCTTCGACTTCTTCCACATGCTTTTTCTGCGTTCCGACCATTTTTTCGTGCAGGTTCACCCACTCCCGAGTCTACTTCAGCTGCTCCTTTAGAGCAAGAACCTGCGCAAGTGTTGGCTCCTCCACAAGAGCCACATTTATTAACGTTCTATTAACCCAATACCCAATACTTAACCTACTACTTAATTTAACACTCCCCCTCAAGCTGGAGCATATATATCTATCATGCCCAGCTTGTCACATATAGTAGAGAACACCTTTGAAGATGTAGCCTTGGTAAGAATATCAGCAAGTTGTTGTGAGGACGGAGTGAATATGAGAGATACTATCTTCTTCTCCCAAGCATCTCTGACAAAATTGCAGTCAACTTCAATATGTTTTGTCCTCTCATGAAATACAGGATTCTGTGCAATGTAAATGGCAGATTGGTTGTCACAATGCATAGGCATGGGTCCAGGTTGAACAAGACCAAGTTCTGTCATAAACTTTCGTAGCCACACCATCTCACAAGCAGTGTGAGCCATTGCTAAACAGTCTTGCGAAGACGGTAGTTGAGTCCCTGATGAATGGCCAAGGAACTTTGAACTCCTTTCGACCTCTGCTGGAAGCAGGCTTAAACGGGGTCAGGAGTGTGGGCGAAACTCAATGGTTCGAACGCTGCTCAGAGGTTATCCTTCGTTTGGAGGAGAAATTACAACGCCTCGAGACCATGGGCCATAGTGACCTTCAGCCGCAAATTATGTCCACTTTGGCTAGTCTTCAGGTCGCTGAAGTGATACACCGGGAAACACTAGAACGGAATTTAGCTGAAAAAGAGCGTCAGATTGCAGAGCTTCGTGAGCGTAACACTCGGAAGCGAGAAGAACTAGAACGCTCAACTGCTTCTATGAATTCGCTTCGGGACAGACTGGTTGAAGCTGAAGCCGAAGTCCTGCGATTGAAAGCTGAACTCTCCCGCGAAGAAGGCATTGTCAACATCCTTAGTACCCAGAATGCAGCTAGTACTTTGGAGTATCATGCACAAGCTCAAGCTCTGGAAGACGCCAGAAAGGAAATGGCGGCCATCATCATACCCAGCGAGGATGAACTCCGAGCAAAGGCTGAAGCTATGGTGCGAGCTAACCACGAGGCGGAGCTAGCTGAACTCAAGGCTCAACTCATCTCTTTTGATTTAATGCATGAGTGAGCTTGGCTTCTGTAATGTTCTTTTGACAAGAACAAAGTTTGTTTTGTATCACTTTCTTTTGGTTCTTGAATAAAAAGTGATATTGACTTCTCATTGTTTCTTGCATTTATCATTTTTTGATTTTAAATACAAGTCACGAGAAATGCCTGAGATGTATTCCTGACTTAGAATATACCTCCACAATGGTTCTGTTGCAGAGAACTCTCTTTATTATCATTTAAGACAACTCTAGAAAGTTTCAAACTGCTGAGGACGAATACTCCCATAATAGGGTTGACTAATAGAATTCTTCCTGTGTTATGTTTTGCTTTAAACACTGAAAGAAGTCTATAAATGCTAGAGGTGTAGTTTTAACTTAGCAAGAGAGATATTGCGATCGGAGCAATTTTGAAGACTTATCGTTCTATTGACGAGAAGCGATAAGTTGATTTTTGTCAGAGGTGTGATTTTAACGTGACAGAAGAAATATTGCGATCAGGGCAATTTTGAGGACTTATCGTTCTATTGACGAGAATCGATAAGTTGATTTTGTCAGAGGTGTGATTTTAACGTGACAGAAGAAATATTGCGATCAGGGCAATTTTGAGGACTTATCGTTCTATTGACGAGAATCGATAAGTTGATTTTGTCAGAGGTGTGATTTTAACGTGACATTTGTGGGGAAAGAATATTATAGCGTCTCACAGGGGAGAACTGCTATATGTTTTATCATCGGAGTGATGAGTTATAAGACTTGTGATTTGATCAAGATTTTGGGGGAGTTTATTACCCCACTGAAAACGAGTTATTTATTGCTCTGCTGAGGAGAGCCAATAAATCGACAATGAGTTGGAGACTTATCATTCTATTTTTTGAGAATTGATAAGTGGATTTTGGGGTGTAGTATTAACCCAATGAGAATTTGAATTCTGCTGAAGAGATACAGAGGTTTTGATTACCACTCTGTTAAGTAGGCTTACCAGTGCATATTCTTCATTTAAAAGAATTGCAACGCTGAGGTGACCCTCGCGTTTAATATTTGAAACGCGAGGCTCAGGCCTTGTGACGTTGGCTTGGGCTTTGCATTTGGGAAACTTGAACGCGGATGTGAGCTTCGCGTTTTGAAAGATGGTTGGGATTCATTCCTAGAATCCTGTGCCATCTTAACAGCTTGGTGGCTGTTATAAATAGACCTGAGTGGTCATATCAAAAGTCACTTGACTTTCAAGACTTTCGACTATTTTCAAGAACGAGAATTCTCGTTTGATTCCGGTGAGATCTCCGACGGTCTTCGTCTCCCTCATTCAAAGGAATTTCCTCCGATCGACTGCATCAATGGCGCCTCGGAGAAGAGGTTCGAACTCCAAGAAAGTCGCCGGAGCGACTTCCGAAGTGCCGTCGGCTGAGGACGCCGGCGGTGCTCTTGTTCATGCGGAAACATCGTCGTCGTCACCGCTGCTGCGGGGGCTTCCCTGTCGTGGTGAGTGCCACCCGAAATAACTTGCCTTGGCAAGTTCTCTGAAAACCCTAGATGGGTTCTTGATAACGAGGAAGATGACTCGTTTCAACTCAATGAAAACGCGGGGTTGGGATCCCATGTGGGTCTCGACCCTCGCGTTCAAGTTTTTCAACGCGAGGTTGACCTTCGCGTTTGAGGCTTCTGACGCGAGGTTCGACCTTCGCGTTGGAGATTTCGATATGAGCCTTTAACCCTTTATGTTTCAGGCTATGCCTTTATGTTGATAGCTCGCCGCTAACTTCTGCTTTTGATTGTGCAGTACTTCTCCCAAACGTGCCACTTTCACAAGAGCATCATTTTGGGTACATCGGGGGACCTGACGCGAATGAAATATTTAGTCTTCAGAACCAAATTCCATTGTGTACTTATCCTGATTCGGAAAGAGCGGAAATGATTAAATTCCCTCAATGCTCTACTCTCAGGATTTTGATAACTGACTTGGACTTGGAGACCCCTGTTGGCCGTGCCCAGTTTCCTAAACCAGCGTTCATATTTGGAGATCGCATACCAGCTAATGATCATCTCACATGTATGGAAGACTCAAAGCTGCTGCGGAGAGTTGATAATCGCTTTTTATTTCTCCCTAGCATGAAGAGGATGTACCCTCTCTCCTACTTTCTGAATGTGAGCTGCCGTCGGGGCTTGACCTTTGACATAGTAAAAGAGAAGGAGGATGTGTCGCTTGGATTTGGTCGGCGAGCTCGTGCGCAAATCGGGGGGCAACTAAAGGGGTTAAGACCTGGTTTGTTTGAGAAGAAGGAGCTGGTTCAGGAGATGCCACGTCCAGCGAACATCTTTATTCGCCAATTCCTTGCAACTCAGGGTGAATTCTCTACCCAGACGTTCAGATCTCCTGGATGGATCTGTTCCGGAGAAGGAGGTTGGTGGACCCGTATGGTTGACTTTGTTCTTGAAGAGCTTAAGGACTCGCTCACTCAATCGGGTCTCACAATTCCGGTGTTAGCTACACGACAGGGAGTCGTGCAGAGTCTTCATAATTTCTTCGCTATGTTGGAGAAATATAACCCTGACAGCTGCACATTCTTTACGCCTGCTGGAGAGTTAGGTTTTGCTCTTCATGAGATGCAGGCAGTGTCGGGGCTGTCGCTTGGAAAAATGCCCTACGAGGAGTTCATTCCCACCACCGAGGAACTTTCTCTACTGAAGGTGGCGCACCCGGAAATTTGTGCTACTTTCTGGGAGCTGATGTGCCACTTCCACATATGTGCCCAAGTCTTTGGGATGCGTGGAGGGGGCATTATGCATACCACGTGGGCAGACTACCTCTTTCAGAATTTAAACCAAAAAGATGTAGCCGTATACCGCGTTGCAGTTCTCTCTCTTAAGGATGCCAAAGCTCGAATTACGGCTTCCAGTGCTACCTATAAGACAGAGCATACCGAGGATGATTTTGAAGCTGGTGTCGAATTCGAAAATTTCCACTACCAAGCCACAGTTCCTATCTCTGACACGGCTCTGCTTGCAGGCTTCTTCATGATTTGGTTGAAGCGGTGCGTGGTACCGTCAAGACCGATAGAGGCAATATTAGCTGAGGTAGTGTACCCAGCTGTTTTGCTAGCGCATGGGAGACCTGTGAGCCTCCTTACTGCTATGGTTGGCTGTATTCAGAATGGCCTGAGGGTGTTGACTTCAGAACTCCTCAGTGCTTCGAGAGTCAAAGCCGCTAAGAAGAAAGCTGGAAAAGCTCCTCAACCACGTGTACCAGTGCCATACACATATTTAATGGCCTGGTTCGTGTTGCATTCGGGGCGGTTAGGGTTTTGGGAGATAAGGGCGGCGGCTAGGGTTTGGGAGGGAACCTTGCTCTGATACCATGTAGAAATAGATAAAACCCTAATCAATCTTTATTGAGATCATAAGAGAGATATATATAGCCATACAATAGGCGGGGCGGTTAGGGTTTTGGGAGATAAGGGCGGCGGCTAGGGTTTGGGAGGGAACCTTGCTCTGATACCATGTAGAAATAGATAAAACCCTAATCAATCTTTATTGAGATCATAAGAGAGATATATATAGCCATACAATAGGGTTAAGGTTAATGGGTAACGTTCTATTAACCCAATACCCAATACTTAACCTACTACTTAATTTAACAAGTATTATAAATGATTCCTTTAAATACAGCTATAACCAATGCCAAATAAGCTCTTCATGCAAATATCAGGAAAGTCAGAGTATTATGCTCGTTGTGTATGTGCGTGTTCATAATGCCCATTTCCCTCGACAAGAGCATCCCACGAGACAAAGGATGTCCTGCAGTTATGAGAGAAGTTGAAAAGGAGAGGAGATACAGCAAAATGCACAAGTAGCCTGCATATATTCTCTGCTAAGAAACTCCTTTTCCCACTTTTCCATGAAAAGGAAGAAGAGAAGATGTATGCACGCTTTGGGATATAATAGGAACTTACTCTCTCCACTTCCCACAAGAAAAAAACACCCCTTCTGTTTCTTTATTGCACTTTTTTCTGTGTTGTTGGGCTGGTCCTTTTTTTATATGTTTTCTTTACAAAGAGGGGTGTGTTTAACTGATTGAAAACTTACTATTCTCAAGAATAAGACTAATCTACACACGTTGATTACTCTGGGCTTCAGCCGGTCACACCAAAACATGAACAACTAACCTGGTTATTTTGAGTTTTAGCCACTCATGGTCTTTCAAACCACAGTAAAGATAAAACCAACTAACATGTAATTTAGAAATGACAATCACGGTAGTGGTTATGTGTATAACTATATCAATCAAAGAATAAAATGGACAAATTACTTTTTAATAGGGAGAAAGTTTCTCTTTGCATGCTGGTGAAACGAAGGTTAAGACCATGTAACTTCAGTGCCCAAATGAGTATAACGCTGGAATCTTTTTGCAAGCTGCATCTATAAAGTAACCAAACAATATTAATTGAAAAGAAACATAAACATTTGGCCTCAAACCAATTATGTAAGCTTCACTATATAGTCCTTTAAGCTTCACTATATAATCCTGCCAGTAGCGATATCCAGGTCAACATCCTAACTAAGAGAAAACATTCTAGACCATGTTCATGCTCATGGAGGCTTTTAAGCATATCCATCCAAACATGCATGGTCAGTTGGTCATCCTACCATAAATCTTGTAGAAGGGTAATTTACATGTTTGTAATTGAAAATATTATATTTGCATTTGCGCAAATCGATTCTACCTGCCTTACTGGATCAAACATTTTGCTATAATATGCATTAATATATACCACTAACTCCGACATCCGCAGTCAAATTAGTGCTAGATTTGATTTCACTGTCCAGCTGTAATAGTTCATACAGTAATCAAGACCGTCAAAATTAGTGATATGATGACTAGCGGAGAAGGCATATGTTGAAGCTGGGCTCATGCACCAAACCAGGCTGGATCGTGATTTCACCATGTCCAAATAAGGCGTAATTAATTTAGAAGATCGCTCACCCCACGTCCCTCACTTCTTCTGCTAAATTCCCAGCCCAATAAAGTTATACTTCCACCTTTTAGTTAACTCATTATCAATGAGGGTAGATAAAAATATAATCGAACTTAAGAGCATATTTAGTCATCAATGTGAGCAAGCAAAAGTAGCAAGTTAAGTCATAAATTCACAAAGAAGGGTTTTTATTATACTACATAACTAAAGTTCCAGTAGTACTGTCATCAACAAAAAGGCAAACTTCTGACTGGGGGATAATAACTATAACCACTCTCTATATAACTAACAAGCTAAACCGCAAAGCATACCAAGAAATACGATCCTTACATTATAAACTAACACATCAGCATGGTGTTAAAGAAAGCACATTTACCAGTAAGAATAAAATATGTGAAGGAAGAAGAAGATAGTGAAAACAAGAAACTGCCAGAACCATTAATCTATTAGTTTTTGTAGGATTAATAGAATATCAATACTCTCTACTTATTATTAGATATATAAAGTTTATTGCAAACTTTCAAGAAACTAAGCTGTAAAACCACAACACAGTAGGTTACAGAAAGAACTTAATCCTCTGTTTGGCAACTTTGAAAATAACCAAGTTCACTTTTAAACTAATTCTACTTGGCCTAAGCTAAGTCTAAACTAGACTTTATTGAACTAGTTCTAGTTCAAACTTAGTTTGGCTAATTTTTAGACTGTACATATTTGGCCCATTCTAACATAGTTCTCTTTTGAACCAAGGGTGACTTGGTTTGTTTCTAGTCTAGTTATTGAGCAAATTTGGGTCCACCTTTTTAATTTGCCAAACTAGGGCCAAGAACATGGACCCGTTTTGTACCCACTAAAACAAGTTTATTGAGTTTGCCAAACAAACCCTAAGGGATTAAACCAATCTGATGCATATTGTCCTTTAGGCTCTCATGCAGTCTCCCCTATGTGGCTAGGTGTTAGTAGACTGCTCCTGAAAAAAAACGCGAGGACTGCCGTATTTCTAATCATGTGTAATTACTGAATTACTAGAGATATCATGGATTCCTTGTGCGCTAATCCAGATCTAGTCCTGCTCACATGGTCATCCCCACACACAAGTGGATTAAAGTGAACTTCAAAACACATGCTGGTATCCAAAAAGAAAATGTTTTTTGTCTCTAAAAACACTGCGTGAATCCCACTTCTGGCATGGTATAATTGGCTTCTCGTGAGAGAAATTCTAGCAGGGTGGACCAAAGGGTAAATTCTCAAAGGAACCAAGACTCTTCAATGTCTTTTGAAGTGACTTCAGGTTTTCTCCGAGCATTTGCATACATCACGCCAAATTATCGTTTATAAAAAAATATAATGTCTGTATTACTGCTTTATCTAGAGATGATTCATATGAAGACCTTTTACTTGGGGAATTGATCACAGTCACCAATTCTGTGGATTATGGTGTCGTAACAATTTACCAGTATGCCTAGTCAGACAAGATAATAAGGGGTACATTCAGTCTGTTGAATATGATCAGCATGCCAAGGTACCCTAATGGCTTTATCCAAGATTCATATTTTTTAATCTCCAAGCTTCCAAAGTGCAAGAATATGGATGGAAAGTAACAATAAGACATATAAAACAGGCTAATAGAATAGCTATTGGGGGGTATAAAGGAAAAACGACATGTAGTTTTAACCAGTCAAATCTTCGAACTAATGGACAGAGTTCTAACAAGGTGCATAGAGAAGCTAAAATTATCACAAAAATGAAGTTGTGAGCCGCATACTATCCTGTATTGTTAGACAAGCCTGTTATCGTTATCCAGTCAAATGAATAACAAAGCCAAAGCATACCATACTAACATAAACGGTAAGAATTGTATTCCAACAAAATGAAATCGACCTAGACAAGGCACAACATTGACCTGGATGTATGTATAACAGATCTATGATATGCTATGCATGACACAATCATCAACCATTAACCGTTAAGTCTGACTTTTAAAACACCTGAATCAAATGATTGTTTGCACTAACATACCTGTATGGATCCACTAGATCTTCATCATCTGCAGCAAATGGGCAGGCAAGCTCAGGGTCATCAAACTCATCCAGGAAAGAAAATCTACTAGAGCTCCCAGATGGGATACGTGGTGAAGAGCAAGATGATAACTTCTGACCAGATAAGTTCCCAACTTCATCTTTCCCGGAATATAATATCTGAAGCAGAAAGGAATAGAGTTTCAAGGTAGTCAATCTAAAAAATGTAAAATTTAATTCCGTAATTTTGTAACACTCTTTTTCTGCATTAGGATGAAGCATTAGATACTACCTTCTGCAGGGTCATGCCACTATGAAGGTTGCCCGAGCCTTTCTTCAGTTGTAACCTACTTTCAGGTGAAGTTTGAGATGCAGAAGCAGTAGTCACTTGAGCTCTAAGAAGATTCGCCTTAGAGGAAAATCCAGCCTTCCCACTCTTTGGAGAAGGGGATGGAGGCAAACCTTGAGTAACTAATCCACTATTCATCCCAAGCCTGGGCAAGGGAATGCTGACTGGGGCACTTTCTGCCCGTAGCAGAGAACTTTGCAAATGGGAACCAGGCAAATGGGTTGGTGGTGAAGGGGAAGAAGATGGTGAGTATGGAGGTGAAGGCCAATACTCATCAAAACTCGTGTTCTTCTTATGGGCTGACAACGATGAGTCATGTGAAGCTGGACATGTAGATGGAGAGTGATCATGTGGATGAACCCGAGGAGGAAGGCCAGCACTTGGAGTAGAATTCAAAGCACGAGAATCAGAGTACGTAGGCGATGGCGAGGCAGATACGGAAGGTGGTCCATGATCATTGCTCCAACTATGCCTTCTGGTAAATGAAATATAAGTAGGCAGTGATCCTGTAGATGGAAGCGAGTGCAGCCTCTTAAGAGGATCAGTTGTTGGGCTCCCAACATAATCCGGTATGAACTGTGTTGATATTGGTGTAGAAGGCTCAGAACTCACATCGTCCAGTGATGGAAGATAAGAAACTGATAATGATAACCTTCCACAGGGCGTGTCAACAGGCACAAAATTGAACTGTTTCATATCTGCCTCCTCTGCTCGAGTGAACGGCTCAACAAAAGAAGATATTTTGTGGGAGAGGCTCAAGGTGCAAATTCGGCCAGAGGAATTAAGGTCTCGAAAAACTTTATATGCTGGCAAAAGCCGGACAGTAGAATACAAAGACCGAAGCATAACAATTGTTCTCTTGTATGTTTTCTTATACATAGATGGAATCTCAGATGAGTGAGAGCTACTACCACTTCGTTTACTACTTGAATGCACCTCCCTTGGAATGTTGGAGCTTTTCCTGCTTTCATACTGAACAACCCATCTCTCTACAGTTTTTTCACTCCTGTTACTTGGCAAGAACTCATCATGCCCGGTCCTCCTACGGGCCAAGATTATGTCAACAACCAAGGGTTCAAGATTGCTCTGCCGCCACAAGTCAAAGTTCTCTAGTGCAGCTGGGCAATCCCTTAAGGCCAAGTTGAACCACTTGTCCCTCGGCCGGCCACTTGAGGAAGATGAGGATGATGATGGAGAGGATGTGAAGAGGTCTGCAGAGTAGTTTCGGGAAGAGACATAGGGAGACCTGGATTCAAGTATGATGTGGAGGCTCTTGGCAAAGAATTCAGTGATTACTTGCTCGATTATAGCAGGTTCAGAAGCAGAACTAGAAGGGGATGATGCCATTGTAAAAAAACCAAAAGATAAGAAGTTTAACTTATCTCGCTTATTTTAGGATACTTAGGGGTGAATTCTGGAGAAAGAAACTTCCATAGTTTTCCAACAAGAAAAACACTAAGAAGCTACTGTTTTATCTGGACACTGATCGCTTCGAGCTGGTTCAAGAATCCACAAAACAAACTCTCAGAACGCGATGTAGATCACTCTTAAGAGAACTTTTCCATGATCAATCTGCTACACTTCTAGGGTCTAGGGTTTTAGCACAAACGAACTCTCAGAACGCGATGTAGATCACTCTTAAGCAAACTTTTCCATGATCAATCTGCTACACTTTTAGGGTTTTAGCACAAACGAACTCTCAGAACGCGATGTAGATCACTCTTAAGCAAACTTTTCGATGATCAATCTGCTACACTTCTAGGGTTTTAGCACAAAAAACTCTCAGAACGCGATGTAGATCACTCTTAAGCAAACCTTTCCATGATCAATCTGCTACACTTCTAGGGTTTTATCACTCTGTGGTTTCGATAGTAGCTTCAGGGGGGCCGAAGAAATTTCGAAGGAAGAAACACTAGAAATTGAGGGTTCAATCAGAAATTGAAGCTGATTTCTTCGGATTGGTTCAAGAATTCACAAAACAAACTCTCAAAAGGGGATATAATCACCGTAAAACTGAATTTTTCATGATCAATCTGCTACGCTTCTAGGGTTTTAGTACACAATTACTACATATACCCTTCGATATGAGACAATTAATTAGACAAAAACTTCCCAAAATTCAAAAGAATTACTACTTCAAGAACGATATCTATATCCAAAATTAGTAAGCGATTCGCACAAAAGGACGCGAATCAAACGAATGAAATCGAAAAAAGGGTAAGAATTCACCTTTTTAGGGGGAAATTCTCAGCGAGTTTTGAAATCTCGAAGCCGTTGGATTCGAAGGGGGTTTTAAAAAATAAATCTTTGGCTTTTTAAAGCAGCAAATTAAATTTCCCTTTTTTCAAAATTGGGAAACCCTAGGTCGACGGTTGCGTTCGTGCGCGGAGGGGGACTACTCCGTATTTACGGATATGCCACTGGTCTTCTTTTTTAGGGAAATTACGGACAAGCCCTTCGCGAGCATGTGAATAGCTTTGACGCTTCGAAGAGGAGAAGCTACGGATGGTCGGCTATTTATAGGATGTGGTTACTGTTACTTCCGGTAAGGTTAGCTGAGCGGTGACCGAATTGAGTGGGTTGGGCTTGAAGGGAAATTGTACAGAGAAGCCCATTGTATCTGTCTCTTAGGGGGGGTTATTCATTGGTGTAAAAATTGGGATAATGGGATAATTTTTGGAACACCACTTTTTGGTGTTATTCATTGGTATAATTGGAACTGGGGTAAACTCTTTGGTGTTATTGATTTGTTGGTGTAATTGGGGGAAAAAAACTCCATTACCCCTAAAATTATCCCAGCTATATAAGCTTGACTCAGCCCCCAGCCCAAAATTTACCCCCTTTCGCCTCCTGGAACAAAAGAGAGGGGATCGATTACTCCACTTCCGATCTCGAGCTCAAGCGAGATCACGATCGCCGTCGTCGTTCTCGAGGGCGTTCACCCGTTCCTCCGTCATCGTTCTCGAGCCTGAGCCAGCTCCGCCGTCGCCGTCCTCGAGGTCGCTCGCGCCGTTCTCGAGCTCGTTCGCCCGAGCTGCTGCCGCCGTTCTCGAGCGCCGGATCTGACGTCGTCTCCTCCGCCGCCTCCTCCGCACCACCGGCTCAACCTACCCAACCCAGGTACCTTGGCCTTCAATTATATCTCAGTTCATATAGTTGATCTGAAAAGTGTTCATTTTTTTTTGAGAAAAATGGGCTCAATTTCTCAGAGAATGTGTTCAATGTTCAATGTTCATGTTCCAACAATATGTGACTTTTTAAATTCACCTCATGTCGATCATTTCAGAAACTATCCAGACCTTTATACTTCTCAGATATCTGAATTCTTGGAGGATTATGTGCTAACCTGTCACAAAGACTCGTAGAATATTTTCCTTAGATGTATGTAATTAGTTTTTTCTTTTTCTTTTTCTCTCCAATTTTTTCCCCTGGTTGTAATTTTTCCAGGCATTACTATTGTTCAAACTGGTGAGATATTGTAAAGATTGCATACATAAAGAAAAATAGAGAATTATACAAAATTTTCATTCATCTTCTTTCTATATTTGGGGTTGTTGTTATGACTGGTTGGCCTTTTACAGGCCTTGTATGAACTGTAGATTGCCTTAATTGAGTTAATGCAAGTGAAATAATTTCAGTTCATGGTTAAGCAAATGACAGGTTGTGTTTCCAGAGAATTAATTGTGTGTGTATGGTAATTTGATCCGGACAGGCACAAAAGGGGAGAATTTTCATGCTAATTGAAAGATTGTTGAATATTTGGAAGAAAACAGAGGAACAATTTCAAATATCCAAATTAATCAGTCATGTGTGCTTTTATAAGGTGAAGCTTAAATTGACAGATATTTGATAGCATTTGACCTCTTAATTGTTATTGAAAATTTGAGTTCCCCAACCATTATGCAGGGTCACATTATATCACTTTATGACATTTTCCCCATATATTTCCCTCTTGTTCTTTTGATCAAATGGAATAGATATCCAACAATGAGGTGACTAATTTGCTGCATCTTTTATCTATAATGAGGTGAATAGATATCCATTTTATGTTTCACTTGTCACTGTCACGTTTACTTTTCACTTCTAAAGTGGCAATTGATAGAGTTATGGAAATTTCGGATCATACAGACCAATATGAGTATATAACAATTTTATTTGCTCACTATTTTGTAGAAGACTTTGGTTCAACCTTAATTATATAATAATTAGTAACAATTCTTGTTGTTCGAATCAGGATGCTACTAGTTATGTTGATTGGTGGTGAAGTTCCCTTCTGTTGATTTTACATGATACCTGTCATATGATCTGGCATCAAACTATCAAGACTGCCAAAGAAATCAAAGTAATGGAATTCTTACTATTTTTTTGTGAATATATTGTATTAAAAATCTTACTATTATTTGATCTCGTTTCCTAATACAGGATGGAAGATAATCTTTTTGGCGGCATGTGGTCAGAGGGGGAGGTAGTGTTGGGGTGTTTGGCGCGGTGAGGGAAGGTGAGCGGAGGAGGGTGGTGGCACAACGGCGGCGGTCACAATTCGATGTTGAAACCATTTATCTTGTATTGTTGTGATAATTTGATGTTGAAACTATGTACTTGTGAATTTTCTTGTATTGTTATGATAATTTGACATTGAAACTATGTACTTGTGATAATTTGATGTTGAAACTATGCTCTGGTGATTTGTATGACAGTTGAAAAATTTGATGTTGAAACTATGCTCTGGTGATTTGTATGACAGTTGAAAAATTTTGTGTGTTATTAAAGATTTGGGGTTGTATGTTTGAACAATTATTGGATTTGTATGACAGTTGAAAAATTTTGTGTGTTATTAAAGATTTGGGGTTGTATGTTTGAACAATTATTGTAATTAAAAAATTTGCTAATATAGCATAAATATTAAAATAAACATCAAAATATTCAAAGATTGATTAATATTATTATTATTATATTATTTTTATTATTTTATATTAAAATAATCTTAGAAATAATATTATTGTATATTATAACTATTATTTATTTAATCATTTGATGTTATGTCAAGTTAAACTTGAATTTAATTGAGCTATATATATAATATTATAAAAAGATGTCATACTAAATTGTCCCACTTAAATTGTCTCATTACCCCATTTTACCCCAATTTATCCCACTCAATTATCCCATTGGGTAAAATTACCTCATTGGAACAATTTACCCCAAATTACACCAAATTACACCAACGAATAACCCCCCCTTAGGGGCTTATTTCTGCGTAATTAATTCAGAAACTGTACTCACTTAACATTTAGATAATATCCCTTGTAATTTATAGCATTTATAAGCACTAGGTTGTTAAAATTGACACGTTCGAACCTTATATTATGTAAGTACGAATATATTCATCTAAATATTTATATATAATATTTATAGAGCCTTCTAACCATTAACATATTTTAAATTTATTATTAAACCGATCACAAATCTAGTTAAAGTAGAATTAAGATATCTAAATTTTAATTTTGATAGATTTAATAGTAAATTTAACAAATATTGATATTTGAAAAGCTCTATAACTAAAATGTAAGTATAAACATTCTGGTAAAAATTTTCATGTTTGTAGCCAATGAGGTATAAACATGGATCACTCTAAATATTGTTTAAAGGTCCCTCACGTATTGCATAATTTAGACTCTGCTGAATTGTTATTCGGTCTCCTGGGCTCACAGTTTTGTTGAGCTCCGACGTTATGAGCGCAACTATAAACTGGTAGAAAAAAAGACATCATTTAAAAATAATGAAATCATACTTTTCTCATATTTCTTTTAGGATTGGACTACACTAATTTACTAGGGCTCTGTTTGTCAAACTCCACCTAAACCAGCCCAAAGTTGTATACCTCCTTAAATCAGGCCAGCGTCGGTCCACGTAGGGGTGGATCAATTCTGGCCTGATTGTAAAGGCTGAAAATGAGTTAAAAGGTTGGATCAAGTGCTAGCCCAATATTTCACAGACAACAAAATAGACTAAAACCGGGCCAGGTGGGCCCAAATCTGTGGGTTTCCAAACAGGAAACAGTAGGGGTGTGCAACGGTCGGTTCGGTTCGATTTTTACCAAAATTTGAACAACCGAACCGAACCACCTATAATTCAAAACCAAACCGAACTGTTGCAAGTCGGTTTGGTGCGGTTCGGTGCGGTTCGGTTCGGTTTGTTCGGTTCTAACTTCATCAAACTTCTTATCAAACAACAAACTGTATTGAAGAAAAAAAAGATATCAACAAAGTAGGAGATTATGAAGCATTAAACATGATATAATGATATTGTTTTTAACCCATAATGATTCAGAAAATGAGTTTAGAGTTTGAGTCTTTGACTCTTTGGGGATGGGTCGGGTAGGGTTTGAGATCAGAATGAGTAGCATTGCACTATATTTGGTCGGTTCGGGTCGGTTCGGGTTGAAAAGATTTCAAACCGACCCGAACCATCCTACTCATAAAACCGAATTTTCCAGGTCGGTTCGGTCAGTTTTTTCGGTTTGGACCGAACCATGCTCAGCCCTAGGAAACAACCCCTAGATTTTACAGGGTGAAAATACACAAGACTATTCACTGTAACGTTATTTGACCTATGAAGTTAGCAAAATTGCAAAATTTTATATTCAACTTAAGATGGAAAATGCACAGACAAGAAAAAATAATTCATAGAGAAGAAAAGAAATAATAAAGAATATAATTGTCATATAGCTAGGTATTCGCCAAAGCGCCCAAGTTTGCAACCAAAAGCGCATTATTAGGGTGATATATATTGATAGCATCGATGATATAATAACACACTAAAAAAGAGAGAATGCTGACCATCTGCTGATCTCTCGGTCCTCTCATCTCATAATCGGAGACGTTTTGATTCATAAGGAGAGCGGTAAGTGTCAAAATTCATAAGTAGTTCTAGCATGATTCTTATGGTCATAATTATACTCCTGATCTTGATTTAATAGCAAATGAACTTTTTTCAGGCACGGGACCTTGACTAGGACTAGGGGTGGAAATGAACAAAATAATTAACAAATAAGTCGACAAGTGTTCGAATAACTATTCGGTCATATTGGATTCGGTTGTTCATTTATCACGAAATAAATATTTTTTACTATTCGAGTTTACTAACGAATAGAATTTAACCAAATGTATATTTGATTCGTTTGTCTATTAAATATTCTTTTAAAATTTGATCACAACTTATTATTTATATTATTGCACATATAATGTTATATTTTAACTCACTTACCATTTATACTTAAGTTTTATATACTGATTTTAAGACTTAAATAATCTTAGATCTGTTTTCTAATTAAAATTTTGATTTAAATATATATACACCATATATTATAAAGGAATGATTTTTATTTACGAATTTTAATATTATTTGATAATCAAATTTTTTAGCGGAATAAATATACTTTGTGATCGATAAGTATTCGTGAATATTTATGAATATTTATCAAATACCAAGTATTCGAGTTCGAAAAACTAGATATATGAATATTAGAGTCTACATTCGAATTCAATAATTTTAAACAAATACAAATACAAACACATTAGTGTTCGATTCGATTCGATCGTTTACAACCCCTAACTAGGACTATTGGCTATTGTGAAGAAGCACTGAGTTCGAGCACTCAACTCAGCCGATTATAGCAATCACATGGAACCTCATGAGTAATATTCCTGGCTTAGAAATATCTTGGGTTTGGTGTGTGTAGGGGGGGGGGGGCGGCGGCTGCGGCGCTAAATAGGGTTTTTTTTTTATAGAAACTAAATAGGGGTGTTTATGATAAATTCTAGTGTGGAGAAGGTTCCGTGCATCGGGTTCTGGGTAAGAATTTTGGGACCCGCTCAATAAACAAAGTAGCTTTATTTTGAAATGTCAGTCCCTTAAATTTGGAGTTAGAATCTCAAATTACTAAAATTACTAATAGGTTCCCTAATTCCCAAAAGTTTTTCCCTTGCTTGTTTAAATTTTAGTCTCTCAATTAGTTGAAGTAGTTTTTAGGTCCCCAATACTTATAAGTTGTTTTAAATTAATCTGTCTTTTTGTGGGTAGCAACAACAAGATATATCAACCAGAGGAGTAATTTAAGAATTTAAGAGACTTAATCAAAATATTAATGATCTAAGGGCCTAATATCTAAAATGATCCAATTCAGTAATAAAACTGTGAATATAGATATTTGGAAATAAATTACTTTATCTGTTTGGACTAAATACATTTCAGAGAATTGGATAAACAACAGTGAAATTTAAGAAAATAAGCGATTAATATTCATATGTTTGATAACGATTAAACATTACATATCATTTTTTTCTAACGAACATCGAATCACATATATTACAAGTATTTAGTCATGCAATGTTATTTTTCTTTCTTCACCATTGTGTCAGGTCTTTTGGTGGTTAATCTAAAATCAGATAAACCTTTTTTCACTTATTTATACAAAACTATAGTCTTCACGACTTAGACTATTTGTTTTACATTAATTACATATCTAAATCCATGCCTTCTGGATTAATTATGTATATTTTGAATAGCCATGCATATAAATTTTTTCTCTTTTCTTTCTATTATTAGTAGAGGTTTTCCAGTTTGAGATCATAATATTTCTCCACAAAAAATCTTTGAAATTATCAAATGCAATTATTGATATTGACTAAGGGGACTTGATTTTAAGAGAACGAACAAAGACTCGCTCCAAGTTTAAATTTCTAACTATGCTATTGTTTCTAAAGGAGACTGATACGTGCTACCACCATTCACAACGTGGATAAGTGGGTAGTTGTGTAACTTATGTTTTACTTAGTGGATAGTTATGTTTTGTGGGTAGCTATAGAGAGAAGAGTGGTGTTAGTGGGTAGAGATAATATTAATATAATTATATATAGTTGTTGTAACGGAGAAGATGGTATGAATGAGAATTATTGTTTGTTTATCCTCTAGTTCTTCTCTTTATCTTCTTCCTCTATCAAATTCAACCTTATCATTGGTATCAGAGCCAAGTTTCGATCATGGACACTCACGGCAAAACGAATGCCGAATTCCGCAATGAGGTCAATGAAATCTTAACACGACATGAGTCCGGCAAAACGAATGCCGAATTCCGCAATGAGGTCAATGAAATCTTAACACGACATGAGTCCAGCTTTGATCAAATTAATGCTACACTCCAAATGCAATGAGGTCAATGAAATCTTAACACGACATGAGTCCAGCTTTGATCAAATTAATGCTACACTCCAAATAGTGTTAACAGAACTTCAAGCTCTACAAACCGTCAGGAGCCCACATACTAATAATCTTGAAACTAACTCATTTGCTCCAGGAGAATCCTCACACTCGCCACAGGCTGCTCGTTCTACCACCAATAATGACCACCATCACCAACACCTCAAATTGTCCTTTCCAAGGTTCAAGGGTGAGGACCCAACTAGCTAGATCTACAAAGCAGAACAATATTTTAATTTCAAAAATATTGCCTCTGACCAACGAGTTCTGTTAGCGTCCTTCCATCTTGACAACATCACCCTACAATAGCACTGGTGGTTGACGAAATTTCACGGACCACTTACATAGGATGAATTCACCAAAGTTTTCCTTCTCGGTTTTGGTCCAACAGACTACGAAGACCCGTCAGAAGCCCTAACTCGGCTTAAACAAGATTCA